ATCTCGTTTATTACAGTCTTAAGTCTTAAGCTGTTTATAGAAATTTTCCTATCATGGTATCTTTGTTATTCTTAGGTGTAAAATTGCTATCACATTCAGAGGTTTGACATACAGTTTTACCTTTACAGTAACTATTCTTTTAGTAAAAATTAATGTGAAAATCAGAGTAGTTGGCTGTATACCATCGTTTAAAAAAACATACAGATTAATTTATTTAAGTCTACCGAATTCACGGATAATATCGCAAACGAAGCTGTAGATCGTATAACACGCGCTAAAAATATTCTAATTAGAGGCGTAACAGAATCTTCCTCTGGGGATGTACAACGCAGAAAAGATGATGACGCGAATAAGGTGAAGCTTGTTTTGGATACTGTTGGCTGCCAGGAAAAGCACATCACCTTCTACAGAGTCGGCAAAGCAAACCAACGATTTCCCCGAATGATAAAGGTAGTGATGGGTTCGGAATACCACGTTAAAGATATTCTGAGAAATAAAGCCAAACTTCTGGAAAACAAAGCCACAGAAAAATTCTCAATAATTGACGACAAGACGCCCATCCAACAAGTACGTTTAAAAGAACTCCGAAGTGAGCTAGAAACTCGCAAAAATAACGGTGAACATGATTTAACTATTAAATACATCAATGGCACTCCCAGAATCACGAATTTTCGTTCATAATTTTTCTACCAACAAATTTAATGACTGGCTATTTCTATATACTAATTTAGATTCACTTTCCGCTAAGTTTGACGAATTTGTATGCACAGTGCAACTTCTTAAACCGGACATTATCTGTATTGCCGAATCCTGGCTCAAACCCACAATTCCAGACTCTTCTGTTAATATAAATGGATATACAATATATCGTAAAGACAGAGAAAATCGTGTGGGTGGCGGTGTATGCATTTATTTATCCAATATTATTACCACAACTTTTAAAATTAACCTCAAGCTAATAGATATTACTGGAATAGATGCAATTCACTTATCTGTTACTAAAAATTCTTTTTGCCTTAATCTAGTATGTATATATCGTCCACCTAATACACTACTTGCACACGATAATGTTTTCTTCACAAAACTTGAAGAACTATCATCTCTTGATAATCTCATCATTACTGGAGATTTTAATTTCCCAGAGATCACCTGGCCAATAACTTCATTATCTGACGCCGAAAACGCTCATAATTTATTTAAAAGCTTTGTAGTAAATTCAAACCTGATACAACTCATTACAGAACCTACTAGATTTAGGAATAATAACCAACCTTCTACTTTAGATCTAGTGCTTATTAATGACGAACAGCTGATTTCATCTCTCGAAGTCAGTTCTCCCATAGGAAAGTCAGATCATGCAGTTATAACGGCTCACATCCAGTTCAATCAAATATTACCCCGCAAAAATAACATTGTAACATATGCTACTACCGACTTTTCTGAAGTTGACACTGAACTCTCTCAAATCGACTGGCATTTATTTTTTGCAGACTTAAACGACCCCTCATTAATGTGGACTGCATTTCTCGATAAAGTCCACAATATAATTTCTACAAATACTATTTTCCGTAAGAGTTATAAAAACAACCTCAAACCCTGGATAAATCGAACAGCAATTAAACAAATCAATCACAAACGACATCTATGGCGAAAATTTATACACACCGGGCTTCTTAGTGACTTCCAAAGCCACCGCAGATTTTCAAATAACTTAAAAACATCTCTAAAAACCCTAAGACAAAATTTTGAAGCAAACGTTATTGAAAGTGGTAACATTAAAAAAGTCTATAAATACATACGTTCCTCCATGACATCTAAAGTTTCCATTCCGCTACTTCAAAAATCCAACCAGACTTTATGCTCTTCTGACAAAGAATCTTCCGAAACTCTCTCTTTAGCATTTTCACAGGTATTTACTAAAGAATTAAATGATGGTAATCTACCTGCTGTTAACTGTAATCGTGTCGGCGCATCCTTACAGCAAGTTGAATTCACAGTGGATCATGTCAAACAACACTTAATTAAACTTCGCACGGCCGCTTCACCTGGTTTAGATGGTTTAACACCAAAACTGTTAAAAAGGTGCGCAGACACGCTTGCAATACCCTTAACGTTAATTATGCAAACCTCTTTCATCCAAAACTCCTTACCCCCTAGTTGGAAATTAGCTTCCGTTACCCCTATTTTTAAAAAAGGCAACAAACTCGACCCCAACAATTATCGTCCGATTAGCTTGCTGCCAGTAGTTGCCAAAGTTATGGAAGCCATTATTTCCGAGGAGATGACCAAATTCCTTCTCCAGGAACATGTTATTCCAACACAACAACATGGATTTGTCTCTGGTCGCTCTACTCTAACTAATCTCCTACACTGTGTTAACGACTGGACCTCATCCCTTAACAGTTCGCAGCCGGTCGACGTTGTTTATCTAGATTTTTCTAAAGCCTTTGACCGTGTACCTAAGCGCAGACTTCTACATAAGCTAGAACATTTCGGAGTTCGCGGTACTTTACTTCGTTGGATAGATGATTTCCTGACAGATCGATATTACAAAGTTAGAGTTGGCGAATCTTTCTCACAGGACAGGTTAGTGGAAAGTGGAGTGCCTCAGGGTTCTGTCCTTGGACCTCTGCTTTTTACGGTTTACACCAGCGATATTCCTTATTATGTCTCAAGTAAAATATCGTTTTACGCTGACGACACAAAAATATATGCCAATCCAAACACAAACCAGCTAACCCTCCAAATGGACTTGGACTCTATTTTAACTTGGTGTTCCCAGTGGTTACTACCCTTAAACGCGGAAAAATGTGTAGTGCTTCGAATTGGCAAAAATAACCCACTTGTGCCGTACTTTGTTAACGGGCAGCCATTAGAATCTGTGTTTTCGTATAACGATCTTGGTGTTATTGTGAACAGCAGCCTAACTTGGTCCGATCATATTACCTCTATTTGTAAACGTGCAAACTCCAGACTGTATCTTATTCGGAGGTGTTTTTCGGGAGTTTCAATGCAATTATTTTGCAAACTTTACACTTTGTACGTAAGACCCATACTTGAATACGCTGGACCAACGTGGTATCCCGATCTGGTTCGAGACAAGACTCTGTTGGAAAACGTTCAAAGAAAAGCCACTCGAATTTCTTTGGGACCGAGAAGACCGTCTTATGCAGAAAGACTTAGTATGGCAAACCTCACTACGTTTGAACTTCGCCGACAACGTGGAGACTTAATTACAACATTCAAAATACTAAAATTCAATTTTGGAAACCTCGAGGAAATATTTATCATAAACCAAGATGAACGCCTCAGAGGTCATCAATATAAACTAAAGAAAGAAAATTTTTCTATAAGACAAAGACAGAACTTTCTTCCAAATAGAGTTTTTGAGTGCTGGAATAACCTCAACGACAACATTGTCTCCGCTTCCTCTACCAACTCGTTCAAAAACAGACTCGACAGTTTTATATTATAGTTAAAATATTGTTTTTCTTTTAAACCAAAAATTGTAATTTTATTTCTTTTAGTTGTAATTTTTGTTATTTACTAGTAGGTGATTAATGAAATTTCTTTGTTTTTGGGCATAATAGGGACTTAGTTCCTCTGCCCTCGCTTATATTATAATAATAATAATAATAATAATAAAGTTAAAAAGTTTTAACAGTTGGTTCGTATTAAGTACCACGTATTAAAAATGGGACAGGGAGACATTTTGTCCCTAAAGTAAGAAATTTTGTCCATTGTAATCGACCTAGAGTCACAACATAATTAAAATTTGGAATGATGTAAACCCATATATGGATGTCACAGCCACAACTTTATTGTTAGCTTCAACTACATAAGGCACTGAGAATGATCTGTTCAGATCAAAATAGTTATGCTATTACATAAATCAGGACGACACTTTTTTAAAAAGTTTTAACTATATATTTTTATACCAAAATACAACTGTAAAGTGTTTTAACTTCTGTATGTTTTTTATTATTTTAGTGGTATAATAATATCCTTATATTTGGTGTAAAAATTTTTTCTTGTCTAACTTAACCTACCTAAAATAACCTAACCTAACCTAACCTAACCTAACTTAACCTAATCTAAACTAACCTAACTTTGACTTTGGTTTCTTTCGCAAAACCGTTTTGGGTAGTGCACATTTGTCTACATTTTTTTCTACAATTTTTTTGTAATTTTCTGCTGTCTTGTATTTAAAACTTCACGTTTTAAGTACTGATTGGAAAAACGCTTCTAGTTTTTTATAAATTCATTATCCTCTTTCTTGCGTTGGTCATCGTAATGAAATTATTCCTATTCCGAGACATTATCCTGTTTTTATAAGCTGTATGGGATTAAAGTATATCAGTTGGGTATTACCCTGGATATAGATGCTATTTTCCTTTATCTGGCCTTTTGGCCTACTTGATCGAACCAAAAAAAGTGAAGGTAAAGTTAAAACTGCTGTTTTATAAGTTTTGTTGCTTTAAATTTACTTTATACTCTTAATGGTCTATCTATACCTTTTAATTAATATAATTTTGTAGTTGTTAAACCAAGTCTGTAGTGTAAAAAAATGTTATACTATTGTTCAAATATAAAATAGTCCTTTAAAATCTTCCTATAATTGTATGTCACCTTTTTTCAGTTTTCCATTATCCTAGGGTGAGATACCCTTATAACTAATCTGAATGTACGTTATCCTATTATATAATTTTGCATGATCGGTTAGATATTAACTCGATATCATTAACCTGAAAAATAATGGATAAATTACTGTACAGAAAAAGTAAGTTTTAACTGGTTATTTGGTTTTGATGGTTATTTAAAAAATACAGGCAATCCCTTAGTGTCTAGCTTTTTTTATGTGCCACAAATAAATTCACTTGCTACTGCATCCAATTATATGTTCAGTGAGCATGCCTAACGTAGGCGAATATATTTCCCCCTCACTGTATATAAACAGGTGTGTATAATATATTTCAATTTATAGATACCTATTTTTCCAGTAAAATTGGAAACCTGCACGAATTCGTCATGCGTTCACGCCGCCACCCAAATCCTCAAACACATCGACATCAGAGCAGATCCATGCGAGGATTTTTATCGATTTTCCTGCGGTAATTTCCTGCAGAACACGCACTTGCTGGATAATCGAGAATCCCGATCGGGATCTCGATCAGTCGAGGATATCGCCCAGGACGAGATCCAATCCCAAATAAGGTAATATCAGTATCAATGAGTTCGCATTTGTTTCTTAAGCAACTGGTTGGGACTAAATTCTGCAAGAGTGCTTTGATAACTCAATATATCGTATATGCGTATTATATAATAAATATAAAAATATTATTCATGATAATAATAAAAAATAAACATTTATTAGAATAATTTTTATAACAGTTTTTACACAACAATAAAGTTTTTTTAAGCTGATACAATTCTTAAAGCGTTTTCTTGTAGGAAATTGAGCAGTGTATTTTGAAATACAAATACTTATTATTAACATCCTGTCACTGTCACTGCTAAATCTTAAAATTTGTCAAATATCTTCTAAACTTCAGTCTGTTCAACTACAAAAAATGGCTCCACATGCTAGCAAAGAACTAAAAGCAAGAATTGAAACGAAATTAGAAGATCGAGATTTTAATATTAACCCATTAACGCCGAGAAAAAAAAATCTTAAAATTGTAGAGGATAACAATCATCATTCATTATCATCATCATCATCATCATCCAGCCTCAAGAGTCTACTGCTGAACATAGGCCTCTTCCTCATGTTTCCAACCTCGTCTATCTTGCGCCGCCCTTATCCAGTATTTATTGAGTCTTCTTAAATCGCCAGTCCATCTTGTAGGTGGTCGACCGACGCTTCTCTTGTCTTCCCTTGGCCTCCATTCCAATAACCTTTTTGTCCATTGCCCATCTGTTATTCTGGCTATGTGTCCTGCCCATCTCCATTTTAGTCTGGCTATCTTCTCGATGATGTCAGTCACTCCGGTTCTTCTCTTGATGTCTTCGTTGGTTATTCTGTCTCGCAGAGTTATTCCTAACACGGACCGCTCCATTCTTCTCGGCGTGACTCTCAGTTTGGTAGCTGCTGCTTTTGTTAAGGTAAGTGTTTCTGCTCCATGCGTCAAGACTGGGAGGACGCACTGATCAAATACTTTTCTCTTTAGGCATGTGAGCAGCTCACTTTTAACAGTTTCTCTCAGTTTTCTAAATGCTGTCCACCCAAGGCCGATTCTTCTCTTCAGTTCATGAGTCTGGTTATCCCTGCCAATCATAATTTCATGTCCCAGGTATTTATATCTATCTTCTAGTTCTATTTCTTTCCCACCAATACTGATGTTCTGGTTGGGTACCAAATTGGTCATGATTTTTGTTTTCGAGATATTTATATTTAAACCTACATTTTCTGTAGTCACAACGAGTTTCTGTACCATATTTCTTGCCATACCTAGATCTTCAACTATTATAAGTATATCATCGACGAAACGTAAGTTATTTAGATATTCTGCATCTATTTTTATTCTCTTTGTCATCCAATCCAAATTCTTAAAAGCATGTTCTAGCACCGCATTAAAAAGTTTGGGTGACATTGGGTCTCCTTGTCTAACCCCCAGTTCTATTTTTATGCGATTACTGTTAGTATGTAATCTGACAGTGGTTGTTGCCTGCAGGTATATTTTGTATAATAATTTAGTATATCTATAATCTAGCCTGCATTCTATAAGCACCTGTAATATTTTGCTTAGCTCAACTGTGTCAAAGGCTTTGTGAAAATCGATAAATTTCGAACTAGAGGTTTATTGTATTCCACTGCTTTCTCTATTAAGGTTTTTATACTTTGTAGATGGTCATTTGTTTCGTAACTTTTTCGGAATCCTGCCTTGGAAACTAATTGAATCAGTTCTCCTGAAACATCAAGACGAAGCAGAACTAATCTGACTTGACAATGGCAAGTGTGACCATGCCGAAACGTCGTCAAAACAATGGTTTTTCTAAAAACCAAAATTACTTAACGCGGAGTCAAACCCGGAAAACAACTGAAATCATATATATATATATATATATATATATATATATATATATATATAATATATATATATATTTCAACATATATATATATATATATATATATATTATATATATATATATATATATATATATGGCTGAGGAGGCTAATCGGTCTGTAATTCTCTAAATTTGCTTTGTCTCCTGCTTTGTCTAATAGAATCATAGTAGCGGTGTTTCAATCTGTTGGAATATTGGCGCTGTGAAGGCAGATATTGAAAAGTTGTTTAATTTTTTCAAGTAATACATCCCCTCCAATTTTTAGTGCTTCTGATACTATTCCATCTTTACCCGGGGATCAATTATTTTTCATTTTCTTCGGGGCTTCTTTGATTTCTGATTTTGTTATATCGTGCATTAAATCTGATCCTTGGTTTAATACCCCAGTTTTTAGTGTAATTGGAAGTTCCGTATTGTTATATTTTTTTCTTGATCTATATAACTCTGTGTAGAACTCTTCGAGTATTCTTAATATTTCATCTCTGTTCGTTGTTTCTTCTCTAGTTCTGTTTCTCAGTTTGTTAATTTCTATTTTCCCCTTTTGTACGCTCCTCTTTAAAACTTTCATGTTCTTATTTTGCTCTATTGCCTGTTTTGTTTTTTCAACATTGTAGTTTCTTATGTCTTTTCTTATTGTCTTTGTGATCATCTTTGGCAAGCGGTTTTTCCTTATACTGCCGGTTCCACTATAACAATTAGCTTTTAGAGTACATAATAAATTTGGATTTGTAAACAAGTTATCGAAAAAAAATTGTAGGGAAAGTTTCCTTTTTCCTTTAGTTCTTCAATCATTTGCAGTAGAGGAGCTGCTAGTTTTCCAAAAATTGATTCATAATTAGAATTTGATCTGGGATTTTTTCCTTGGTATACTTCAAAATTCACCACGTAACTATTTGAAGTATTCAACGACCAAACCTTGTATTCAAATCTGACTGGTTTGCCACGGATGAATTGTTTACATCCATGGTGACCAAAATACTGAATCATCGATTCATCGTAGAAAAGATTTGGTTCAGGTATAAAGTATTTAAGAAATCTTGATTTTGGGTGGTCTGCAGAAGGTTGTACATTTTATCAGAGGTGTCTTCATTATTATTATCAGCAAAATGAATATATCTGCAGATTTGCCAAAATATATCACGGCGCATGGCTTATCATCTTTTTTTTTTATATCATCTAAGTTTATAAAAAGTTTTTTTATGATAAAATGTACGAATGACCCTTAACGCTGAATAAACGACAAAATAAAGGTCAAAATATTTCAGACCAGTTGAGTACATCAGTCTTATATATGAGTATCATCAGTAATCTAAAATTGTTTTGAAATGTTTGATATTTTTCTCCATGAGTGTAAATAAACTTTAAGATAATCCCAAATAACTTATAATATTTCATAAATATTGCTTCTGAATAAAGAAAACTGTTATCTTTACCATTTAAATTCAATAACGAGCTTAACGAAGAGATAATTTAAAAAGTATGCCGAACGTTTTACAACAAAAAACAATCGAAGCTTTTGTTGCGGAAACCTTTTATTTATTTAAAATATTTATCTTCCATTCCGTTTCAGAGAAATGCTGGAAAGGCCAATACGGCGAGAGGATCCCAAATCCTTCAACACCGCCAAAAAGTTTTATCGAGCTTGCATGAACGAAACGGCCATAGCCCGCCAAGGATTAAAAAAGATAAAAGAAATTTTGGAAATGAGCAGCGGCTGGCCCACCCTGCAAGGCTATCATTGGGACAACAAGAAGTTCGATTGGATGGAGTCGGTACATAAACTTCGGCAGTTGGGAGTTAGCTCCGATGTCTTTTTTCGGGTTACGGTGGAGAAAGACGATCGAGGAGTTAATTCCAGATACGTTATAGGCGTGAGTACGTTTTTTGTAACAAATTTATTTTGTAGAAATTCTTGAATGCTTCTGTTGTTCTTTCTGCTACTAGTTTATTAACGTTTTCTTTAGGAAAAGTGTTAAATTACATTTCTAATAATGTAATTAGATCACATATCAATTAATATATATATATATATATATATATATATATATATATATATATATATACCGGGTATTTAGGCGGCACACGCCCTTCCGGTAAGGATCTATGAAGGAGTATCACCAAGCCGCAAGCCCTTAATTAATTAAATTAATATTAAACTCACCAGTCTTCCGGGTTGAACAGCGTCAATATCCATTGGGAAGAGCTTTCGACATCCTCTCTGATGTCTTCTTCAGGGCTTCCGAGGTCTCAGTCCCCTGAGTCCCGTCACTACTAGACTTATCACTAGTCACTTCACTACTGGAACTGGGAATCGGATATATATATATATATATATATATATATATATATATATATATATATATATATATATATACAGGATGCTCCAAAACTGTGGCTTGGATACATCAAAGACGTCTTATTTTCTTTATTGGTATATCTACAATCACTTATTTTCTGTCTTCCTCCTATTCAGAGCTAGAACGGCAACAGAATAATATTTTAATCTGTTGTACAACTTTAATAACAAATAAGTAACTTTTGGAGAGTCGCTGAACCAAAACCAACGGAATTCTAGTTTGGCAATTTATTTGTTGAGAAATCTCGAGTTTTTGTATTATATTTCTTACCAATCACCAAATTCACAGCCAGAGTGACTTTCACTCGACACTGAGGAGTCTTCAGTACCGGTTGATGGTTCTTGTAATTATACAGAACACGATACTGGTACGTCACGAGTGAGGGGAGTAGGCAGATTGAGACCCCGAACTCAAACGGAACCATATCCATCTTGAAAATGGCTCCAAAATGGGTGCCGAAACGTCAAACATTAAATTCTTAACGTGGTTCTTCCTAAGAACTTACTGATTTTCATCGCACGGTGAATTATAGAGGTTTGATCGGTTAATTATTGGCAAATGAAAGATGCCAACTAATTTATTCTTTTAGTATTCGCTTTTATTATTATTTAAAAGTATTCCCAGTTCTACAACAATTTAAAGGTTGTTTGTAATGTTCTGAAAACACCAACTATTAGCAATAAAATCTAAAAAACTAAACGGGAAAAAAAATCAAAAGAAATACTTAATGAGAGCCCTAATGTTCATTAATTAACATAATATTATTTCCAGCATAAATACTTTACTACAAAATACGCTAAGTAAAAGAAACAACTGGGCCAGCCAATCCAATCTTAACTTTTCCCCATCCAAATCCAAAGTTATTCATTTTACCAGAAGACAAAACACGCAATCTCCAACCACTACTCTGAATGGAAATTTTCTCCAAGTACTAGACCGAATAAAGCTGCTCGGCATTATTTTTAATAAAAAGCTTTCCTGAAGATCACACATTCGAGAACTTAAGAATAGCTGGCTTCAAAGAATAAATCTTCTTATCACTAGCTCATCATAGTTGGGGAGCCGATGAGGAAACACTACTAAAAATATATCGAGCTCTTATTAGCTCCAAAAAGACTTAAGACGAAGAACAGGAGTTACCGATGTGATTTCCCGAATTGCCACACTGAAATTTAACTAGACCGGACACGTCGTCTGAATTAGTGATAAAAGGTGGACGAAGAGCTTGCTTGAGTGGAGATCGAGGTTAGACAAAAGACGTAAAGAAAGACCCCTTACTCGTTGGACTGAAAATCTCAAGAAAATGTGAACAAATTGGGTGAAAAGTGCCAAGATAGAGCACAATAGACAAAAATAAGGCAGGCCTATGTCCAGCACTACGCGCAAAGAGCTGGGTGATGATGATTTGCTACAAACTTGATTATGGCAGTGTTCTCTACATGTGATCAAGTAAATCACTACTATGTTCACTACATTTAGTCCAGAATACTTCCCTTCGACTCTGTTTAGGAGCATTCCGATCCAGTTCGGTAAAAAGCATTCATGTAGAATGTTTCAAACCTTTGCTACATCTAAGACGACAATAACTTCTACTGCTCTATTTAGCTAGCGTTTCAGCAAATCACACAAAGCCCACAAGAAACCTCATCTGTAATAGACAATTACTAGTTACTAATAATCCTAGAATGGTACCATCCACTGTACAGATGTTAACTCCTTATTTAGATATCAATCTGTTGTCGACCAGCAGTTTCAGCGGAAAGTAAGAACACTTCTCACAAAGGCGCAAAAACATCGTCCACGCAGTGCAGTAGAGAGAACAACATTACCGCGGTATCAAGGAGGAAGAGGACTTATTGATATAGGTGAGCAATTAGATAAACAAATTGCTAATTTAAGATCTTATTTTCAGGTACAGGGTGAGACATCTACTTTACATCGAGCAATTTGCGCAGTAGATGACACAACGCCGCTTAAACTGAGGGAACAAGAAATGCGCACAAACCATCTGACTAAGCAAGAAAAAATGCGCACCTGGATGAGTAAACCTCTGCATGGGCGACATCTCAATGAGATCAACCAAGAATATGTCGACAATACAGCGTCGAACTATTGGTTGACATCAGGAAAGATGTTTCCCGAGACTGAAGGTTTCCTACTTGCCATTCAGGATCAGGTTATTCCAACTAAAAATTACCTGAAATATATTGTTAAAGATCCTCAAGTCCAAAATGACAAATGCCGATATGGATGCCAAGCCCAAGAAACCATCCAACATCTTACCGGTGGCTGCCAGGCATTTGTCGGTACTGATTATAAAGAACGCCATGACTCAGTAGGAAGGATTATCCACCAAGAACTAGCTGACAAACTGGGACTTCTCCAAACCGACCATCGTCCTTATTATCAATATGTCCCTGACAGAATGCTTGAAAATGACAACTACAAGCTATACTGGGACCGCACTGTGCTCACAGACCAACCAGTGGCCCATAATAGACCGGATCTCATACTAGTGAATAAAATTACCAGGCAAACAACACTTATTGATGTGGCGATACCTAACACTAACAATTTGCTTGTTAAATACAACGAAAAGATCGCCAAGTATAGAGATCTGGAAATACAAATCAAGAGACAATGGAGAATGGAAAGTACCCAGACAGTACCTATTGTTCTATCTACTACTGGTGTTATTCCCAAAAACCTCCTAGCGAACATAAAACAGCTGGGTCTAAATGAACATCTTTATAAGGCCATGCAGAAAGCTGTACTCCTCGCGACCTCCAGATGTGTACGAAAATTTCTGGGAGATACTCCGACATACCAAGTCACCTAGGGCTCGATAACACGGAAAGAGTCCCACCAGAGCTCAATCCTTTTGATACCGTAGGTATCTGGGATGAGTGAATTTTCCCCTTAGAGGGAGTGTGAGCCGTATGGCTAAATCTGGGTCTTAATAATAACTTTCATGTATACTTTTTATTCAGTACTTAAAGGTTGTGTTACAAAATACAAAGTAAGCTTTCAAGGATTTAGCAGTTTTAATGAACGAACCCTTTCCGTTCTGATCCGTCACTGTACAGAATCAAATTCGGGGCAAATTACCGAGAAATCGTCGATTGTTGTTGAATTTAACGGAACAAATGTCGAGATTAGTTTAGGTTAGAATATAAATGGTTCATTTCGGAATTTTCCTTTACATGTTGGGAGTTTTGTTGTAAAAGAAGTTTACGGCTAAATAAAAGCCACGGCGGTAGTAAAACTTCCACCAAATAACTTTTAAATAGATACACCGACGGTGAAAGGGGTACATGGAGCTTAAATCAACTTTTGAGTTAGATCCGACGACAGAGTTCGTCTATCTGCTGATTTAGAGCAAACTGTAAAGTCATTTAAAGAAACTATGGGGATATTTGTAACAAAGGGAGATTATGGTAATTTGTATGCTGGAGATGATGAAAAACGAAGAAAATAAAATGATGGATGGGGAAAATACTTACAATGTAGCTACATTGTGCTGACTTTAACAATAAATTTATTAAAGTATGTTTGATCTCGCTCGTTATTTATTTCACACTATAGAAAAATATTTACAGACACAAACATATATATGTAGATAAAAACATTCATATCTCGGTGAATATGTGCCAGATATACTCACTAAGACATAGTGGTTGAAGTAGGTAGAAAGCTAGACTTAATGGCTTTGCTGTTGATGTTGAAGATATCTATGTTGCTAGTTTTTAAAATTATATTGCACTGCCTCATCATGTCAAAGAAATAATTCGTAGCTGTATTAGAAATTTCGTTCCTTTTAATGATCGTATCATGATGATACAGCTGCAAAATAAATTAAGAAATATTAATATAATAAAAGTCTATGCACCAACAGCTGACAAACCAGATGAAGAAATTGAGCAATTCTACAACCAAATTAAACAAGTTCTCCGGAGCACACAAAAAACAATTGGAAGGGCAAGGTGGAGTTCGAATCGGGGGAGAAACTATTAATAACATCAGATATGCAGATGACACCGCAATCATAGCTGAAAGTATCAAAGATCTTCAATTCCTTATAGATCGATTCACTAGAGAATGCTCTAATAACGGATTAAGCATAAATACAACATAGACAAAGTTGTGGTTAGTTAACAAGACCTCGGCGCTATACAACTAATTGTCAATAACCCTTAGTTGCCTTCTTCTTCTTCAAGTGCCGTCTCCATCAATGGATGTTAGCGGTTATGGTGGCAAACGTTTGTCTATCTTTAGCTGCTCTTAAGAGTTCCTCAAATCCAAGTCCTGTCCAGTTTCTGATATTAAGTAACCAGGACAATTTTTTTCTTCCAATTCCTCGCTTTCCTTCTATTTTGCTTTTTATTATCAACTGAGGAATGTAGTATTTCTCGTTGCGCAACAAATGCCCTAAATAACTGGTTTTTCTTCTTTTGACTGTTCTCAATAGTTCTTTTTCTAAATTGAGTCTAGCTAGTACTTCTTCATTTGTTTTT